GGTTCAAGAAATATGTCACATGGAAAGATTTCACATTATGGTTCCTTTCTTAGGAAAATGTTGCATACAAATATGTTGGGGAGGTAAGACCAGGAAATGCAAATTGTATTGTGAGGTATAAAATAAACACTTTAGACAAGTACAGTTTTTTCACAACATACAACACAGTTACTGATTACAACCAGATTACGTAAATAACAACCATACCTCAGTCTGAGACAAAGATACAAATTACCCCCTTTACACAGTTTATTTACAAAATCACTATGACAGGCCTTTGTTATTAAAGAATGTGGTACATGGTATAATTAGCATGTATTGTTCATTTAAGTTTGGAGATCTCCAGGACTGTGCCACACATTTTAGTTTCACAGTTGCAAGGAAATAAAAGCTAAAACATAAATCAATGGTACACTCCAAGCACCATAACCACTACAGTGGCTGTAGTAGTTATGATATCTAAGATTATACCCTCAACATCAGAGCCCCAAGAAGAGGGACAACAGTGGGCTGGATAAAGTCCCACTGAAACTGGGAATCTTGGCAGGCATGCATCATGGGCAGCATAACTACTATAGAGCAGTGTAGTGATTATGGTGCCTGGGTGTTTCTTTAATTTCTGTTTTAGCCGTCATTACATTGCAATTGAGCAACGCTTTTGTTTTTTTAGTGCCAGCAATAAATGCAGGTGCTCAATTTTGTAGCACAGTCCTGGAGATGTCTAAACACAAATGCTCTGGTGTCCTCCCTTTCTAAAATGCAAGTAGTTAAACTGTCTTGTGACTGACATTTTATCTGACCAGGCTCAACTTTCCTTTTCACCACAGTCTTCAGGCAGTCAGAAGCACTGCAATGCTTAGCTCACTGGCCGAGAGAAATCACCTGACGCTCAACGAGCTAACCCTGCAATATAAGGCTTACTGTGGAGAGGTAACAGAAGCTCATAAACAGTATTTTCTGGCTCTCTGAAAGTTGTAGTATAGGAGGAGTTCTGCTCCCTGCGGACTCCATTTAAGGGGGCCCCAAAACACTCCTGGCACCATAACCACTGTATAGACTGTCGTGGTTATGGTGCATGGAGTGTTTCTTTAAAAAGCAATATTGCTGTACTATAGGTCCCTGCAACAAGTGGTGAAGGGCTCAGTGCACAGCTGTAAAAACCTAAATACATAATCTATTGTAGTGATAACATGTGGAACCGGCCAGTGCCTTGCTGTCAGCCATCTTGCTACTATCAGCTATTTTATGGAATATAACCTATGGAGTATAAACTGTTTTTTCTTCTGCTTTTTAAAATACTTTTTTTTTAAATGAACTATGTATAAGTATTAAATATTTTATAAAAATGTTTTTCCATTTTGCAGAGTTAGCCAGAGAGAGAAGAAGTGTTAGCAGACCCAGGGACAGGTGTAGGATTGAGTAAATGATGTGTATACAGTAGTGGCCTCAGGAGGGGAGGGGGTACTGGAGAATAGGAAGACTTAGTTCAAAAGTTCAGAATAGACCTGAAGGGGTTAAATCTTTAGAACTATTGTTCAGTAGCTTCCTGTGCAAGGGCAGGGGAGATGCTGTAGCTTTTAACAGTAGCTTATATTTAAACTTGCATTGTGAGAACAATGGCCATTATAGGAGAAATTCAAATGGGTCATTGATCTACATTTTAATGTATAAAGAGCCTTTTATTACCATGTCAAACTTTGCTTGCTAAGGTCTCACTATGTTCAAAGTTGCTTCCCACGATCAATAAAACTCTTCGCCGAACATGGTGGTTATTCGACTATTATGCTAGCACTAGCTTGTACTTTTTTTTTTTGGTTGGTGACAGGTACGTTAACATGGGCCCTATGCACCAATGTAGCCTGTTTTATCTTAGGTCTTGTAAGAGACAGCCGGGACTGACTACGGTGGCTTACCTGTGAGTTACCTGTGGTCATGTTTTTAGATTGCAAGCTCGTTTGGGCAGGGCCCTCCTCACCTACTGTTCCAGTATGTCAGTCATGTGTTGTTAGAATTTAGTGTCTGTTTTGTTTACCTGTCGTACAGCACTGCTGAAATTGTTGGCGTTATATAAATAATTGTAATCATTGGGTGTTTATTATTGTTATTATTAACTCTTACACTGCTATTATTATAAAAGTGGCAGCATTTTCTGGAGCACTCTACCGTGTGTAAAAGAGATATGCAAATAATTGCAACCAAACAGGTTTCAGAATGGATCAAATGGTGAATGTGACTCTGCTCTACTGAGTTTACAGGATACACAAACTGTCCAGAAGAATGGATTGAAAGGTGTGCTTACATTATGAGGTATGTGAACTTTGTGTGCCATAAAAAGAATAGATGGAGCAAAGTTATGAAGGGATGAGTCTCAAAGGTGGAGTGCTATAACCAAAGGCTTGCACATGGGTTATGCCAGATGTATCTCGGCACACGTTAATGCAGCTGGAGCAACAACTCTTAGATGACATCCCAGATGCTGCACAAGCTAGCAGTGAGATTAAAAGGTCTCCCAGCAGCCTTGTTCCATCGCCTTGTTCCATCGAGGGAGCTTAGGGTTTGCACCATGGGCAACACACTGTCATCCCACACATACACAACACATGTTGTCACCTCAAATACAAAGCCAGCCATACACAGTCACAACACACACGACTATCATATCAAATCATATTATCATATTTAAATGGTCAATATTTTTTTCATTCGTCTGGTAGGGGGAAGGATTGAGAAGCACTTGAGAATTCTGTGCCTACAGGTGCTCATGATGTGAAGCTGGCCCTTGAGAAAGGCACTGTTTTGTGCTGAAACATTGGGGGCTTATTGGCACATGTCCAGCTCTGGTTGGCTTTGTGTATACAGTATTATTGTTGATTTTCTGTCTAAGCCTATTCGCTTTTTAATATATAGGTGAAGTACGAGGAATGTGTATACTTTATTTTGTAAGCAATAAAGAACATTTTTTCCGGTAGCAATAGAGTAGTTGGTGTGCATTCTTTTGTTTACATATGGCGATTCATTATGTACATTACGTACAGCCTGGTTCACATAACAAGGGCTGGGGCTGTTGACAATTTAGGTGACTTACTAGAACCATTTCTTACAATTAAAATGTAATTCATAACAAGACCAATGTATCCATTTAAAAAAAATATATTTTTAAACAGACTGATTTCTAACTACATTTATTGTAGTTTAACGACACATAAGCGTGAGTATTGTCGCTGGGAAGTTCTATTATACACTCAGATACAGCAACAATATGGAGATCCTAAAAAAGAGGGACATTAGTATAGAAAAGTGGGACAGATGGATGTGGGTCTAAAATAAGAACAGTTGTAAAGTATGGGAAAAGGAATGTGTACTTTGGCTATCTATCAGTCACGCTCTTCAAGAGATAAATATTTGTGATTTGAGTATAGAGAATCCACAAATCTGCAGTTAAGTTCGATCATCTACTAATGAGAGGTAAAACAGGCTGCGTTCTGCCCATCCTTCACAGACAAGCCAGAATGATTGGGGAGTGAATTGGAGTGACAGACAAGTCAGCTCTCTTCTTCCTCCTTCAGTGTCTACATATAACATGAAGAGACACAGGTCACTACACAACAAAAGGCCCTGTCTGGCTGTAAGATAATTGGTACTCAAAGTGAAGTTAAGGGAGATATACATCATTTTCTGAAACATTTCTTAGCCTCCTCTGCCCTTACATCTATCTGTTCTTTTCAGCTTGTATTACCATCAGACCACCAGCTCAGCTGTACTTTTCTTTCTAACCCTTCCTAGTCATCACAACTGCACCATGCATGCCTAGTATGTATAAAAACAGAAATGACAAATTAGTTTTAATGAACGGGAACCAGAGGTAACATTGTTATCGAAGTGTCCTGTATTGACTCATGTCTTAACCAGCTCATGTAAACTATTGTTTTGTGATCACTGCAAACCAGAATCCACACTATTTAACCCCTTAAGAACACATGGCGGAAATATTCCGTCATGATTCCCTTTTATTCCAAAATCTTGACTTTTTTTTTTTACCCAGTTGTGTCCTTAAGGGGTTAATTGAGTAAAAATGTAAAAAAAATTAACTTTAATATTATTAAGTATACTCTATGAAATAAGAGAATCTTATTTCAAGAATGCTGACATTGAAGTGGTAAAATGGTTCCCTGTATATTATAGATAATTTATAAATACATGTTTTAAAAAAATGTTTTTCTTCTTTATTATTTTGTCAGTGAGTAAATAGGAAATCCCAAGTGATCTGTGCAGGAACTTGTAACTGAATCTCTCAGTAAATCCTGCCCCTCCAATTATTTTCCAAAGAAGTGCTGCTGTTCATATCTCCCAAACACTTATTGGTTTACAATAAATGTAGCTCAGTTATCAGGTTTCATTTGACTTGAGACTTAAAGGGAAACTCCATTTCCCAAATGCAAAATAAATTTTTAAAAATCACAGTTTAGTAGATATGCCCCAAATCAAAACGTGAATGTATTAAATTATTATTTTTTCGTTGCAAGCAATCTAATGTCTGTAAGCAGAAGGCAACAACAAAACTTAAAAATTTGAAATAGCAGATAGTTATTTTTCATCACACTCAAGGAAAGTGAGTAATTAGCATAATTTCCTTAATGGCCTAAGGCCCCGATGTGGGCAACTTTCAGCACTCCAGATGTTGTGAACGACATCTCCTCCTATACTCTCACAGCCATAATGCTGGCAAAGCATCAGGGACGATGTAGTCCACAACATCTGGAGTGTCACAGGTTGATTTACCTATAAAAAAATCCCATAGACTATAATAAGTTCTTTAGACTGGAAACAGAATGTAATCATCTGGAAAGTTTATTTAAGTGACATTATAAGCACCCAAACTATTTCAGCTCATTGAAGTAGTCCAGATGCAATGTCTCTGTCCCCTTAGTTTTGCAATGTTTTCTTAAAAATGACAAAGTGTACATTGCAGTGCTTAGACCAGGCTTCCCCAAACTCCAGCCCTCCAGATGTTGCTGAACTACAACTCCCATGATTCCATGCATGAAATAGGCTGAGAATCATGGGAGTTGTAGTTTAGCAACATCTAGAGGGCCAGAGTTTGGGGGTCCTGGCTTAGACTGTCTCTAGTGACTGTCTACCAGACAGCCACTAGAGGCACTTCTAGGAGTTTACCAGACTCTGGGCCCTTAAACAACGCTTTCCTATGGGGAGTGCTTAATGTGCTTGCAACGCTTGCTGCAAAAGCGCACTAGGCTAAGCAATATAGGAGTTATTGCTCAACAACAGCTAGAGTTATGTAACAATGTTATAGAACCACATCAAAACAACTATTAGCACTTGGTGCTAAATTATAGTAAACCAAAGGAGTTACCTAACGAACAAACTGCGTATTTACGTTTATTGGGTTGTTAGTGTATGTGTTTGTTTTACATTTGACAGATCATTAGCCTGTGCTAATTTTCTTTTTGTATTTTCGCGACAAATGTTTTATTCATTCCGCAAGTGACTGTATTGTTTTCCTCGAAAAGTAAAAGACACTGATGAGGCAGTAAGATCTGATATAGCCAAAGGAAAGCTTATACCATTCCTTTTGCATTTTTTTAATTAGCTTTTTCCATTTCGAAGAAGCAAAATAATTAAATATTGAAACCTATTGTCTCTGACTTGGCTTAGTCTTAAGTCTATTCCAAGGTGATATCCATTTCACTCTTCAAATTCTTCTTATGTGGAGAGTAGATCAAAAGGTCACCCATTTTGATGAGCATATTACAAGAAAACAAATTACCATGAAAGTACATTTATTAGCCATTACAAAGCAATTTGCTATATTACAAAAGATCCTTTTACTGCAAACATGAATTTATAGTTGTATGCCAAGATAGTACTATAGCATATTTCAGTTAACAGGCTCTCCAAAAATCAATACTTTGAATGAGAATGTCAAAGGCTCTTGGCTATTTTATATAGTTATACTTTTAGAAAACCCATATGCTTGTATGAGGAACTTTAACTACAATATTCACTGTGTGACATGTGATTAGTTGGGAATTCAAATTTCAGATTTTAAACCAAAATGGAATTTAAAAAAAAACTCAAATACAGATGTTTTCAAATTGGCTCTAAAAAGTAAAATGTACTTTGAATTAACTTAAAATTCATGCAAATGTAGCTGTCACCTTAAATATTCTCCAGAGGGTTCTGAAAAGTTATGGTTAAATCCTGTCACTATTTTGATTGTATTTATTAAATTGTTCTAAAAGTGATCGCAGAAGTTAGTTTTCTTCATAATAAATTCCACCAGTTTTCACAGACTTTTCATTTTAGTGAACACTTTTCTGTTTGAAAAAAAAAGTGTTGGAAACGTTCATAACACTGTTGTGCTGCTGTGCAAAAAATGGCACATACTCAAAAATCATGGTCATGGTGCAAAAGAAGTAATGGATGGTAAAACCAAACATATTTCATAAATTGAACCAAAAATTAGAAATAAGATTATTGGAGCCATTTTAAAAATCTCCTCCCCTGTATTTTATTCCATGTACAGAGTGTTCACTTTTAAACGTGAACTCATACTGCACTTGATACAGTAGTACTGACACTATGTGACAGAGCTAATTTGTTGGTGATTAGGATAGTTTGAGTGCCATGCAAGAACATTGTATAACATGACAAGTATGTATTCATCTTATCTTTAGCTTACCAAATTCCCATTTTATTTCAAGCTTCAACAAAATTACCATAGCAATGTCTCTCAACATAAATAGTTGCATGTGTTCCATTGTTTCCAGAAAAAGCAGTAAGATGATATTCTAAATATGTTTTTTTTTGGTTGGTTGTTTTTTTGCCACAGTGAAATAGATTTGAATTCTAAAACTCGTTTTCCTGGCACTATAGTGATAATAGGTCCCCCCCACCCTCATGGCCCCCCTACCGCCGTGCTGAAGGAGTTAAAAATCATACCTTTCTCCAGCGCCGGGCTCCCTCGATGCTAGGGATTCTCCTTTTCCTCCTTCCGACGTCATTGGCTGAATGCGCTTTCCTATGAACGCTGGCGTCTTCTCACTGTGAAAATCACAGTGCAAAGCGCGGAAGCGCATCTAGCGGCAGTCAATGAGACAGTGAAGTGATCTGGGTGCCTATAGTGGTCCTATAACAGTATTTCATGACTATGTAAAGTAATATATTTGTTCTATTAAAACCTTTTAAATAATTACTTCAAGCATCATGACCACTTCAGTGTTTTAAACTTGTTTTGGTGCAAGGAGTCTGCATGATTGACACCCAACATTTCAATAGGACATTTTCATTTTAGAGGTGTGAGTGGGGGTGTGGTCTTGGGAGAGACTGTTCTGACCATTTGTTGGTGACTTTTTATTAAACAAAAATGTAATTTTAAACAAGAACAATGTTTACTGCAGTTTAAAGGCACATCACAATGGGTTGTACTGGATGTCCTCACACTTTGCATGAGGACGGGCAGAGTCAATACTTTTTTATGGGTAATGCCTAATATGCACTTGGCAATTGTCTTGCATGTGCTTAAGGTTTCTGCTCGGGCTGACGTTGGAGGAGTTGGAAATGGAGCCAGTGCAGAAACAACCTTGGCACGGGAATCGGGTAAGTGTTAAAAGAGTGTTTAACTCTTTGAATGCTGCAAGGCCAGAGGGAGACTATAGTGTTAGGAATAACTCTTTCTATTCTTAACACTATAGTGTTCCTTTAACAAAATAAATCATTAAAGTACAATATATTACATTCCTATTCTTAATATATGCACAAGTTTTAAAGCAGCAGCAGTAATTGTTCCACTTGCAAAACATGTTCAATTGAGACAAAAAGAAAAGACCAATCTTTAGCACAGCATACTACAGGCAGCAAGGTAAAACGTAATCTTCTCTATACCTAATCTATACCTTAGGGGGCTTGAATAGGTTCCTTCTGTAAACCATTTGTAGACAGCCTAAGGGGTTAATTTACCAGCCTAGGAGATTTGGAGAATTACAAAGAGAGCCTTGGAGAAAAAACAAGATGATTGCAGAGTACAGGTCAACATAGCCAAGTTGGAATACAGAGCTGTCCAATATTGGCCATTTGGTATAATGTTTGCAATTCCCATGTCAGTTGTGTGCAGTTCATTGATCAGTAAGTAGATGAAGCATACATACGCATTACGTGAACTTTAACATTCAATGACATTGACAAAATGAAATTCAAGTAAATGAGACTTGTAAAATTTTAGTTTTTCATAAAGAGTGGTTCACTGATATCCCAGCATAATTAAAACATATACATAAGAAACTACTTTAATTCTACTATTGTAGCTTATCAGCTTGTTCTGCTAGATACATTTCACTTGCATTGTCACTTTTACTTTGTTTGTTTTATTTGCCTGTTTGGCACTTTATAAGTGAAAAATATTAAAGAGACATTCTATATAATCATCCAGTAACCTATATATTCTTGACAATGATACAATAAGCTCTAAATGCACACATTAAATACACAGTTTGGAAGTCCAACAAATGCTGCTATCTACATGCACACGCACACACACTCTCTCTCGGTCTCTCTCTAACTCCCAACTGTAAAAGAAGCTGTAAGCTCGGAGTTTGGCTTCAACAGACTCCAGGTGCAATTTAAGAGATATATGTCCTGAAGCGTGCAGTCCTAGGAACTGCTAAAATACTCTTTGGAACCCTAAGACTCTCAGCTATCTGGTAGAAGACCCGAGAACAAGGAATACACAAAAATACCACCCAGAGAGGTGATTAAGTTATTATTATTTTTTTTAATTTAACTTATCGAGACTAACAGATTAAAGTAGAGTGGAATTTGTTTTCTCTTAGTATTGTTTCTGCTTTTTTATTTTATTTATAAAAATGCAGAGGAGAAGCACACACAATAGGGACTGTTTGTACCATTATTGTCATACTGGTGGCCTGCAAGAAAAAAACACCTCTTATTATAAGACATGCTAAGTTTTCTTGAATTCCATAATGATGGTAGCCTTTACTATCCACTAGAAAGTTATTCTAAGTATCAACAACATATTCAGCAAACTGATATTTACTTATATTAGCTATCAGGCTTCCAAATGAAAATATTGAAGCAACGTTCATAGAAATTCACTAAATGGAGAATTGTCAGGAATTCACAGACCAAAACATTCAAACTTGTAAAATTATAAAATTATTGAAATCAGCTATGCTTCCAGATTGGCTACTTTGACCTTAAATTGGAAATTCACTTTGAATTCACTTTAAATTCCCAGCAATTCTTATTAAATAATTATATATATATCAACATGTGTAAACCTAGGTACAAACCTATGTAATTAACTGCTAGTGAAGTCCCTATATTAAAAATGAAAATGAGTGATTACAATAAGAAAATACATGTGCACACATAATAGTCATGTTTCATCGAATACAGAAAGCGATAGATATGACATATTTAGGCATTCTTATTACAGCTTGCATATAGCAAATAGCATACTACAAAAAGTGGTTATTAAAAAAATAATAGAATGCAGATCTCATGTTCACAGGATTAGCTGATTTTTATGTTCTAGTGGTTCTCCAATGGTCCTCAAGACACACCATCAGTCCAGGATTTAAACATTCCCCAATTCTGTTTCAGGAATTCTGTTCTAGGGATACTGAGAAACCCTGGACCACTGGTGTGCTTAGATGACTGGGATGGGAACCTCCACTATATTCCACTATAGCTGATATTTTCTTGCGTAATTCTTACCCTTGGCTGTGGTGACTTTCTTCATAATCTGCACTTTCCTCCCCAATATCTGGGAGGGTAAGGAGCATGGACTTGGTGTTCCAGCCAGAAGTTAAAGAATCCTGAGGATGTCTCGAAGAGCGACTGGAATGTGCAGGCTGCGTCGTGGGTATTATTAGGCTGGTGGTTGTAAGAGCTGGGCGTACCAGAATTGCAGTTGATGGCATTGTAGTTGTAACTGTAGTTTCTGGAGCGGCCCATGATTCTTCAATTGGTTGTTGAAGGACAATATCAGGTGTATTTACTGCAGAATGTGGAACATGGGGTTTATTTGAATGAGAAGGGCTACTAGGCGCA